AAGAAAGCAACTTACGGAAATAATCGACGAGAGGGAATTCAAAAGAAAACTTTTGAAGAATAACGAAGGAAAGCAAGACAGCAACACATCGTAAGCAGCAATACTCACTTTAAAGTACCAAGGTGAACAATAATCAGAAGAATAAAGGCAAAAAACAACTTAAGGACAACAAGCAACTGATTATGGTGGACAGAACGTGTGTAACAAAATGGCGGCCGGAAAAGTCAAGCATAAGACTTACATATACTACAACGACGTATGTAGTGGGAAATTTACAGTCCAAATGTAACGAAGGATGAGAGAGAAAAAGGCAAAACCAGAACCTACAGACAACGATGGACTCTGGCGGAATCGAAGCAGAAGCAATTAAGATGGCGGGCAGAGGAAAAACAAAGGATAAATGGAGTAAAACAGTCGTGGAACAGTGAAAAACCAACTTACAAACAGAACACAGCAGAAAATATCAAAGGCATAATTAAAAAACCGCAAATGCGTAGTAAAATAGATTACTTACCGCGAGGAATAGGACGCTTGGAAGTGGAAATACCTACGAGACGGAAATCGCTATACTTTCATTCAAACGGTGCATCTATGATGAAACAAAGCGTATTGACAGATTTGAATATTTTGTTTCTGACTGGACAATTTTAGCACTGACCTTCGTGTATTACCCACATGTGCGGGAAAAGAGTAAAATGGTTAAACGATCACGCACTAATCAATTTTACGTTTACTGTAGTTTTAGATATTTAAGTGTTACAATGCTTTAAGCTCTGTTAAACGGTAGACGCATAGACGTTCGTTCTCTCAGGCCATCCCTGTTAGAGTTGACGATATGTCTGTTTCTTTACGCTTTGTTATTTCGTGTTCCATATGCGCTTATACTGTTTTGTCAAATGAAATTTAACTTCGCTTTAAAGCTCCACCAGTAAAGCGCCAGTAGTTTCCCCTATTGGCAGTGAAGCTGATTTCATCATCCCGTTTGCTCCGCTTTGCGTTCTGTTCGTGTTCGACAAATATATCGAAGCTGAGCGGAGGCAACATGGGACTCGCTTCGGGTAATAAGGATGATTGTATGACGGAATCTGTGAAACCGTCGATGAACAGCAAAACCTACACGAAGGCTGATTGCGAACTCGATCCCTGGCCTGATTTTTGCCAGTACCGACTAGATCTGTGGAATCAGTACATGAAAAGGTAAGAATTTAAGCTGGTTTCATTAGCAGTAATTTTCTGGATGTTTTTTCATGAACGAAGTACCTATTTTGTCGTAGATTGCGAACTGTATGATTATGCAGTGTTTTTCAATGGAGTGAATCAGGCGATTGCCAACATGACAGAAAGGTATGTTTTCGTGCGAAAACATTTTCTCTGCTGCAGCTGTAACTGCTTTTACAGTATCATGTCGCATTGCATGAGGTTTTAAAATTAGTTCTATCTAATTGAATGGTACGTCACTAACATAACGGGTCGGTCGAAATGATTTTAGTGCACTGTCTGCATTAGCCCAAAAGAATGAATGACAACCTTTGCCTTCTGCGTGTATTTTTTGCGCCGAGAACGACGACTCAAAGACAGCGGAAGACAAGGACACAAGGAGTTGTTGAATAAAACATGACATTACAATTAATGATACCGAGTTTAAACATCAAAAATGTACCTTATGAAGAAAGAAAAATTTTTTACATTTTCGATGAAGAGGGCGGAAAATTTGGCCTCCAGTTACATTGTTCCAAAATGTAATTTGATTTTGCGATTCTTTTGAATAGCAGGTTATATATACTAAGGAATTTTTAGATGTGGCCCGTGTTTCGGTCTTTTCAGTGCTATTGCTTTGACCTTTTCTTCATTGTGTGGCGATCGACCGGTGGGTGGCATTAATTTTAGTTGGCATGCGAGAACTTTTCGTAAAGGCTGTCGTCATCTTCTCCTGTATTTTTTATTATCAACTGACTTTTGTTTAGAGTTTGTTGCATAGTGTAAATTATGCTACAAAACAGTTCGGCCTTGAAGAATTAGTTGGGTTTGATTTTTTTTCGCAATCCTTGTTTCGGATTGTCATCGCAAATTCTTTACATTATATTTTTATACTTTGAAACCGAATGGATTTTGCACTTTCGGAAATTAATGAGCATAAAAGAAAGACCATCTGAAGTGGTAGAGAACTCCCCCTCCCAGAAGCGTTGTGTCATATCATGAGATTAAGTAAAATCAGTTGTGACCACAGCTTCACTGTTCCTTCGTGGTAGAAGATAACGATACAGGCGTTAAAAATTTTTCATCTGTCAGCACATATACCAAATAAAGCCTAGTATTACAAACTAGCCCGCCAACAGCTAGTTTGAAATGCAGCCGGTAGGAATAGCATTTCTCTGTCACTTCTCCGATTTACACGGCATGGTCGTAATGTTCCCTTCCTTCTTATATTCTTGGGGAAGGTTTAAGTGTGCCAGGGCTTCATGTTTTTTTACACCGACGATTCACTGGCGCAGAACAGCGCTACTTCTTCAAAGGCAAACGAATGTCCCTCAGTCCCTAGGTATATATACAACAATACCTAGAATGTCATGTAGCCATGCCTACTTAAACAGCCCCAAGGCTACAAGAACTAACAGGACAGCACGACTACGCGGTGAGAACCCGAAGAGATGACAAAAGATATCTATACCATCTGTTTTGTTTATTATCAAACGTAAATCATAGGTTTATTCGCTTGAGCAACGAATTTATTATCATATCATAGCGTGTGGCTTCACTTTATATAAAAACATTTATCAGCTGAATTTGATCACATTGTCCCTAAGGGAATAGGACAAGTTGACATATCGTCTTCAGTAATAATGCAATCGAGTAATACCAGAAATGTAATGTTTAGAAAATGTGTACAAACCGATGACGAATAGTGTTCCACTCGGCTTGACATCGTTTCCTAGTTTTATTCATAGTGCTTGCGGTTGTTGCGCTACAGTAGGACCAGCGTTCGACTGCCAGACATCGTTTACGAATGTCGGATAGCAAATTGACACCTGAATCGACGCACAGATTTTCAGGCTTTCGTCGGCACCAGAGATTCTCGGGTGAGCCATCAGTGATGGCTCGATCACCTACAACAGGGAAGCAGTTATCCATAATTTAGATACAGTTCAAACAATGGGCCCAGAATTGAAAATGTTAAATGGTAAATTTAGTCCAGTGTAGATGTTCGTAATAGAGTTATGAACATGATCTGACACTGATTTTGGATTACAAAGTTTACGAATATTAATTTGAGTAGTTTTAAAAATTATTTAAGTAGTTAAACAGACAAGATTAAATATACCGAATAAGACCAGCTTGATGAATTGTCAGTAAATGCATGATATTTGAATTCATGTCTCTCTTTACCAACTCAAGCAATACCGTTGCACCCTTACCCTAATATTATTCAATAATGCACGAAATAAACTACGGTCCTGGCGCCCAAACAACAAGTCGTCAAAAATATTGTGGCACAGTTGCTCCAGGTTTGCCTTACGAATAGGTGGTTTTCCACCTTCAAATAAACGGTTGTTGCGACTGTTTTTCGAGATTCAACGAAGTGCCTTGAAGAACACTTACTACTTTAAAAAGAGTTATGTGTATTTTGAAAAGATGTTTACTGGAGTAGTGTCGATATTCATCTTACCACACAGGTTTCAAATAGTTTCACAATTTCTGGACTTCTGTGAGGTAGCCTAACTAATTTTTAGGAAGGTGGATAATCGTTTATGTTGCGTTTACTAATATTATGATGCATTTAACATTACAAAGCGATTTACTGTAATTAACGTGTTTTTTCGTGACTGTGGGCAGTGATGGAATGAAGTACGGTGTATATCAGAATATATTCAGGTCACTTCAAGAAAAGATAACGTCTATGGTATATACTTTAGAATCGCGATCATACTTTTTGACAGGTTCTCGGTATGAGAATCGACATTTTGGTGATCTGGAGTGATTTATTGCCAGTGCTGGTTGCTTAATAGGAGTTACTGACTCCCGAGGCATCATTGTGACATTAAGCTATTACTCTAGCAGATCGGCGGATGCTTGATTTATTTATCATTTCACGTGTTTAAATATGGCTTAGTCATCTTCTTTGAGTCGCGTTGATGGAATTGCTACAGGACCAAATGTCGCTCCAATTATTTGGTGAAAGGGTGATAGGAACCATATGGCGGAGTTTCTCACTTCCCACATGCACTTTTTTGGCCTTCCTGTTCGACCATTTTGCGAGTTTATATCACCGACAAGATGGGTAAGTTTTGGAGTACCTAATCTATAGTTTTACGACTAACCAAAACAAAGTCAGATGAACTTTTCTGCGTTACTTCCTTCCTTCGCGTATTATCTTTTAATTCTGTTAAAAGACTTATATCACGGTAGACTAGTTGACCATTCCAAACATGGAGAACGATAGCCTTTAGCAGAAGCGAACCACCGATGAAACTGCGATCAGCCGATCGAGAAACTTTTAATCTTCCAATCATGTTTCAATTAACTGAACAGATTTCTTAAATGCAGCTCAAATGTGGCGTCGATTTTCGTTTCGAT